CACCACTTTGGGCAATACACAGATGCTATTTCCTTCTTTATTTCCCCTGCCTCAAGCACTAATGACTTGGTTTATCCTTTTCTGGCCAACTGGGCTCTGTGTACCTCTGAATTCCACCTGAAATGCTCATTTCTGACATTTATGATGACATTCCTGATTGATTCAGAATGCAGACCTTTGTGACCACACTGAAAATTCATTTGTACTTGGAGATGTTCCAGGTACAGAACTATGGAAAATACGTTGTTTCCTTGGCAAATAAATCCTGGGAGCTCAGGTGCATTTGTACTGAATGACAGCGTGCAAAGGAAAAGGCAAAAGGAGCAAGCAGGTTGCAAGAGATTCTATAACTTGTCATCACATTCTCGAGAAATTAGACAGACAAAATATGGTCACAAAGGCAGTGGGCTTCAGTGGAGGGAGATAATTGTAATAATACAATTTCTCTGTTGAATTTCTAACACAGACATATGAATTAATACATCCCATTATTTTCCATCTTTTATGATATAAAGAAGAGGAAACAAACATGTGATAGCAGCACAGAATACCTTCCACTGGAATATCACCCTGATAAATGCAAACTGACACAGAGTTTTAATTTGTTTGTTCCTGATTGGGAATCACAGCGTGCAGAATCTTAATGAGCCATTGGGTAGTGATCACCGACCCCAGGCACGTTTATCTTACTTTGTGCTTGCTGCTTGTAGCAGTTCTTTAATTTGAGTGTCAGTGCCCCACTCTGGGACAGTTTTTTAGTGGCTTCATAAAGGTGTCACGCTGCTGCTGGACAGGAGGCATTGAGGTGATTCTGATGCACTTAAGTTCATCTCTTCATCTGCTCTGAGAAGTCAGTAAACAGAATCTCATTTACTACAGAAGTTTTAATGAGGCTGTGAGATAAGAATCTGATTTTCATATGGTCTGGGTACCATTTCCAGTCATGTATGAGGCTGGGGTGGGGTCAGTGCCTGGATTCTCAGGTGATAACATTTTGCAAAGTGATCTTTTTGTGTGGTGGGAATCTGACAAGGCTGGTTTGTCTTGAGACCATCCAGAGGAAATTTCTGTCGACAAGAGCTGCCCGTGCCCTGTCCTATCAGCTCATGACAGGGCTCAGTGTGGAGCAGGATTTGGCTCAGTGTTACCTCCTGGCTCCAGCAAGAAACCACTAAATGAAGCTTGAAATGTGCAGGGAAAGGAGGTGTGCAGGGCTGGGGCTCTCTGCTCTGCTCAGGCTGTGTTTAAGCACACCTGTCTGAACATTTCTGGTCTCCCTGCCATCCCTGAACTGACTCCTGTGCTCTAAGAAATAGCAGCTGCTCGTTGTCACCTTCCAGGACCTCCATGGCCCATGGAACCACGCTGGTGATCCCTCACAAGAATTCCAGGGTCCTTATCTGATCCCTCATAAGAATTCCAGGGTCCTTACCTTGTCATCATGATGGCAAACATTGCTGACTTGTCACATTTTCAAGTCTATTTATGCACCCTCACAAGCCTCACTCTTGTCATCTACACCTATCACTGTATTTCCTCAAAATCTTTCAGTTCCCCATTAACTGCTGTTCACTCAGTGTTTCCTTCCAAGTTTTTATCAGTCTGTTTTCTGTGTATTTTGCTACAAAATTTTGGATACAGAAAAAGAAGAACTGCATCTTTTTTCCTCCCCTATATTTCTAAAACTTTGAAAATGACAGAATTGCTAAAATCTCTGGGCTATATGCACGATAAGCACAATAAGTGACAGTGTGGCACATCACAGAGCAGGTTAACCTCACATTTCAAATACTCAGAAGCAGTAAATTCACACAGCTCCTTCCAGAAAACCCAAAAAAAACCCCCCTCTGGCCTAGGGTATTCACCTTGTAAGTTATTAGTGTTAAAATGGGTCCAAATGATAGCAGTTTAAATAAAGTACTGAACTCATCTACTTTATTCTTAATTTATAGTGGTGCTTAGGGGATGTGCAGATATTTAAAATGAGTAAAATCAATTAACTTGTGATCCAATTATTTGTGTTAACCACTGTGGGGTTTTATTTTAGAGCACTGGTTCAGATTTTCCCAGTTAAGCACCAAGCTTTGAGAGTGTAAACCTTTCACTGTGAAATATGAGGAACTTGTGGTTATTTTTTCTCTATTTCCAAATCAAATTCCTATTTTTTCCCTTTCATAGTTTTTAAATTCCCTTTTTTACTTTTGTTTTTGAAGGGGACTCCGCATAAGTGTAACAGATTTTTCTAAACGTTGAGAGGTTTATTCCTTAAATAAAGGTGACTGAACAGGCAAAAGAGTTCACCTGCTAGATAAAATACACTTATTTTTCTAGGCCACACGGTTTCACAGTAGATATGTGTCTTTTGCAATCACAAATCTGTGATTTATTACACTTTTCACATTATAAATTTAGAGTACACCTCTGTGGTCTGATCATTCTGCTTTTCCATCCATCTTGAACAGGTTTTAGGCTAACGTTCCAGACAGCTTCAAATGTCTGTGCTTATATGGTTGTTTCCAAAATGTGAAGGATGCTGGGGGTGAGGGTGCCACTGTACCTGGCATTGTTTGGCTTGGCACAGCCTTTCCCTGTGGTTTTTGGCATTTCCTTGGCCTGCAGGAGTCAGAAGCTCAGCAGTGCTGTGCCCCCAGCAGGTCCATGTGCCCTTTCTCTGCAGCTGAAGTTACTGAGAGCTCTTCCTAAACAAGGAGAAAATAGAGATGCAGAATAAAGCCAATCTCAGCTGAGATATGCATGATTTAGATATCTTTAGCCTGATATTCCATAATGTTTGAACTAGCTGGCACACCATGGCAACCTTTTCCATCTCAGTCTGTCACTGGTGGGGTAAAAATAATAAATTTCTCGCACAGGATTCCCAATAATATATCTGAATGAAACAGCCATATCTTTTAATATTTTGCCCTAACAGCTCTTACAGTTCCCAAGGTGAGCCAGGAGTACTGAACACTTAATTGAATCAGACTGGAGGATTAAGGAAAAGATTTTTCTGAAGGATCAATATGAATTAGAAGCAGATTCCTGGTCAAATCTAAGGGTTAGATTCTTTAGCATTAGGCTCCTTGAAGTCTGGGCACCTTTTTATGCAGCTGAATGGAAATTGTTGGGTACTGAACACTTGTGGGAAAAATTCTGACCTTTATGGATCTGATGTCTCATATTATGTATGCTCAAGTTGGGACAATATGAAATAATATAAATATATCAGTTGGGCTAATTGGTTATTTTCAATCAGAGTAAGAGGTATCCAAGTCTCCTTGACAGTGACAACATTTGGCTGAGCCAGAAGGAACACAATCTTGGTAATTCTTCTGTTATTTCCAAGATTCTTAATCGAGCTTTCCTTTTAATTTGTTTCAAAGCAAGTGAAAATATTGTTGTATTATCATTTAGTTAATTAAACTGCAAATGAGCTTAATGAATTGTCTGAAACAAAGCTCAATCACAACCTGTTACATATTAACTAGCAAAATCAAAAGAATCTTTAAATTCTTAGTTAGATACACCAGGGAAGGTAGGAATAGCCAGTTATTAATGTCATCCTTTTATGAAATCAGGTTTGAGGCTGGAAAACTTGAACTGAATGCATGCACTCAAATTATACAGAAAAATTGAAAAAGGGTTTGGGAAGATAAATCAAATCTATTGGAAAAAGAAGAAAAACAAAGATAACTGAACACAGGGGAAGGCATAGTCATCCTTGCTTTATTTTCATATGAGGAATCCACTTTACCTACTATTTGTCCAGACTGGGAAATCTATATATTAATAAAACGCTATTTTCTGGATTCTGTATTTTCACAAACTCTTCTGCAGTGTTATGACTTCTTGTGTTCTGTAAGACAGAGGAAAAGACATTTAGTTTATTCAGGTCTTGAAGCCACTTGTGTGACTCTTGCCCTTGAGTGATGCATTGTCACCAGCGATGCAGCTTTTAAGGAGCACACGTACAGCAAAACCTATTTGTGTCATTAAAGTTTGTAATTTTGGCCTTTTGAAGGCTTAATCCCTAGAAATGCTAAAATTTCCTAATGATCTGTAATGGCAGTGCTGATGTTCAGCACTTCTCAGGATTAGGTCTGTTATCAGCCTGGTTTATCCACCTCCAAAGCAGGTATTATCTTATCACTCTTATATACAGTGCTTTTAGCACGTCAGCCTCAAGTACTTGAAAGGTGAGGAGTGTTATTAAGTCTGACCCTTACAGGCTTTTCCAATGGTTTGCTTAATGTTTTTTTCTACATAAATAAGAATGATGGGGAATAAACTAGAATTTTCTTACGGGGCTTAGCTGGTTGAATTGTCCAGCAATGCATTTCACAAGGTCATAAAAAATTCCTCCACTGCAAAAAGAAAGCAGCACTGCCTTTTAGTTATGCAGACAAACTAGTGGCATGAGGTCCAATTATTTTTGAGTGTCTTAGAGCAAGCCCTCAAAAAAATGCTCTGGGAATGGGTTTTGTGAGACCTGTTTTGTGCCTTGATAACAGTGCAGTGAAAAATGAATGTGGGTGGGATAATTCATGAAAAGAAAAAGAGTGTAAAATGCAAAACTGGATTTGTTTGTAAATAAAAGTAGATTTGAAGGTGAGGATGGTGTGTATAAGGCAGGTTCCTCTTCCCTCAGTTCCCTTTCTGGGAATACATGCAGCTATGCAGTGCTGCAGGTGTTTTCATGCTTCACTTTCCAGTAACATGAGCTGAACTGTCTTCCTGTGATCAGAACCTTCCCGAGCTCCATTCCTATCACATCACTGCTTATCTGCCATCTATTAAATGGAGAGCAGCTGAAATGTGCTACCTCATATTTCATAAGTGGGAATGCATTATTTAAACCCCACAACATTCGGTTTCGGTCAAGGATTCCATCTTCCTCCTGCTAGAGTAAATAATTAATGCTGCCTTGGATATTTCATGTGTGTGTGGTCATTAAGTGGAAACAGTAACGATTTCCTCTGTGTTTTTTTTTTTTTTTCCAGTTCCAGGCCACGGTGAAGGAGGGGGTCACGGGTGTAATAGTGAACTTAACTGTGGGCGACCGGGACGACCCCGCCACCGGGGCATGGAGAGCTGTCTACTCCATCATTAATGGCAACCCAGGGCAGAGCTTTGAGATCCACACCAACCCCCAGACTAATGAGGGAATGCTCTCTGTTGTCAAGGTGAGAACAGTCCCCTCCTGCCCTGTATTTTTGCTGTCAGGTTCATCCTCTGGGTTCACTGCACAAAACGAGGCACAGCAGGGATAGGTTATTCGAAGATCTGAAGTTGGCAGCCAGCCCTTGTCCAAACTCTGTGTATAACCCCCTCTACTGTCACAGTAACCTTATTTTTTTAATCACAAGGACTGCCTGTCCCTAGCTGTATTGCCATTGTGCTTAAATAACACCCAATTTTGCAATAATCATCACAGTTAATTGTGAGATTTGACAACAAAGTTTTGTTTGTTGCTGGAGGTACAATTAGAGTTCAATAACTCCATTTTGTTCTCAGTTAGAGAACACATGCAAGTAGCAGGAAAGAAAGGGGCACGGATTCAGAATGAATCCACATTTCTAAAGTGGAATGGTCCCACATTTCTGTGTCTCATAGGAAAATTTATTGCCTAACTTTGTATGATGACAATCCTATGTCTCAAACTTAACAAATAAAAAAAAGAAAAAAACCCTGTTTGCTGCCTGTACCAGAATGTTCTCTTCTTGGCTTCAGAAGAGGCATTGTCAATTCTTAATACAAATGCATGTATTTCCATGGCAGTGTCTTTGATTTCAAGACTGGAGTTGAGGAAGCAGCTTGTGTTATTGTCATGAGTAGCTACTGAGCATGACTCATTTGTTTATTAAACACATGTTCCATATAAGTGAACATGCATATATGAGCACTGAATTGTGTCTATGACGTAGACACAAATGTAAGCTCTTGGACAGAGGGATGTCTCCATGGGTTTTTAGTCCATTATGTTTATTATCTTCAATGTCCTTGGTGCCTTAAGTTTTAGCTTTCATATTTTCCAGATTCTGCACTGCATTGGTGTGTGACTCTGAATTTCATATCAAGTGTTACAAGTTCTCCTCCCAGCTCAGGCACACAAAACAATCCTTTTCCAGCCCCACAACCAAGGACACGCTGCAGCTTCAGCCCCAAAAAGTGCAAACAGCAGCGACTGGAGGAGAGAATCTGGGAGGATGGGACTGCAGAACCTGGAGCTGGAATTGGACAATTAACCCCAATATGGAAATGAGCCAAAACTTATAAAGATGTGAAAACTCCTGACACACCGTGCATCTTGGGTCCATCTTGGGTGTAGCCTCGGCTGGGCTCTTGTACTGCCCAAGATGAATCCTTTGAAGGATTTTAATAAATCCCCAATTTATTCCTTTAACTCTGTCCAACCTCTGTTCCAGATCAGCCTCTTTAAGCATCACCCTTTAGAACTGTGTCTAATCCTAAACTCTCACCAAATTCCAGGTGCAAGGAACATTATTGTCCCTTTCCAGCTAATTCTGCTGTCTGCAAGTTTGCTGTGGGCAAAAGGAAAAAGTGTAAAGCATTGCCTTTGAACTTTGCCCTCTGATCTTTTCTCTTGCAGCCTTTGGACTACGAGATTTCAGCCTTTCACACGCTGCTGATCAAGGTGGAGAACGAAGACCCGCTGATCCCAGACATTGCCTACGGCCCCAGCTCCACTGCCACGGTCCAGATCACGGTGGAGGATGTGAACGAGGGCCCTGTGTTCCACCCGAACCCCATGGCAGTGACCAAGCAGGAGAACATCCCCGTGGGCAGCGTGGTGCTCACGGTGAACGCCACCGACCCGGACACTCTGCAGCACCAGACCATCAGGTGAGAGCAGGGCCCTCTCATCTTCACCCATCACTACCTGAGAATGTCTTTTGTGCCCAAATTGTGTTTAACTTGTTTTGGCTCTACTCAGTAAGAAGTTACAATTTCTATTTTTTCCTGCGATTAGAGATTCAGTTTGTTGAAAGCACACGAGTGTATTAGAAAGGAAACAATAATTTTCCACGCCGTGAGATTCCTACAGTAGAAAAATCAAGTGCCTACAAGCAATAGACTTGGCTTTGCATAGTTTCAAAATTATTTTTAACTTGCTTAAACTTAACTTGTTTATTCTTCTTCCTTCATGAGAGCCAGGGAAGATACAAGTCCAAAATGTCGATAGAAATTATTAATCTGTTTTACATAGAGTTTAAATCAGTTTATGATAATTCATAACGTTCCTCAGTAAAATAATGACTGTCCATCCACTTTCGAGATCTGAGAAAATATTTCCCAGTGAAAGACTGAAGCTAAAGGAAGCTTGGGCCTTGTCCAGATAAATGAAAATAAAACGTTATTTCTGTGCTATAATAATATAATCCCACACTTGTGCCATGTCACAAGGAGCAAACCTGGATATTACATGGTATCATCATCTTATATTTTGATCCACCTGGCTTGGTCTTTTGGCTTTAGAATCTATGAAAAGTGAAAAACCAACTAGTTTGTTCTCTAAAACTAAATTGACTTTCCAGACAGCTTTTCTCAGCATTTGAGAATTACAGGTTAGGCACTACCACTAAAACCTACAGCTGTGTTTAATTTTTCATTTCTCCTTGTAAGTATCATTTCCCCCGGGTCTCAGTGTGTATAAAAGGGGATAAACACCTTGTGAGAACGACTTCAAAGCTGCAGCTGAACAATGGCTCTGCCAATCCAGACCACAGGCACAGATCTCTCTGCTGTCACAGGGTTATTTAGCAGTGATTGTGCAACCCTTAAAGAAGGTTTGACACATGTACTGTTCTGCAATAAAGAAAGCTGCTGATCTTGAAGATGTTCTCTGTCAGTAGCAAGGCTTGGTGAAAATGTCACTGCAAAGGACTTGGATTTGAATGATGAGGAGGTGAATTTAAGCAGGGCAGTGTGCTCATCTGCAGGGAAGCAGGAAAAAGGCAAGACAGATAATTAAAAGTTTCAATTCTCTGCATCACCTCAAAGATAATGTTGTTAATAGCATTAGTCGTTCAGTTTTTCCTCCTTTGATTTCTACCACAAAAATACCAGTTTATCTGGAGGATGATTCTTAACACACCATTTCCCTTGTTTTCTAAACGGATTTATTTATACCATGATTTCTCATTCTTAAGTTTAGCTTTTGCTCCAAAGATCCCTTATTTCATAGACAAAAATTTGTGTCTATGGATGGAATTTCTGTTGCTTGTCAGACAGGACAATGTGACCTTCAGCAGCTTTGCTCAGAACCTGGCTTGTGCAGGGAACAGATATTTATTTCCTTTGGGTTTTGGACTGAGTTTAAGAAACAAATTTATTGGTGTTCTCTATAATTTAGGTGTTTTCATGGGAGATAGGAAAACTAACATTCATTAATGTAACAGCTGATTTTGTGATGCTGAAAGAGAAAAGGCATGGAAATGTAAGGATTTTGTTATCAAAGCCAACAATCCAGGAGCTATTACCTGAAACTTTCTCCTTGACCTACTGATTTTGCTGAATTTCTCCAAACTACATTGACCCTGAATTTAAAGGGCACCCAGTGAGTCTGAATACTCTTCAATTTTTAAGGATGGCACCTTTCAAGCTTTAAGGGTGGTGTGTAAACAGTCAAGTAACAAAAACATCTTCTGCAGTTCACCACACCTCACAACTGGCTGCCAAGGAACCCCCAAATCTTGACTAACTCATAAACAGAATTTTCCCAAAAGTTTTCCTATATCTGCATAGCCAAGCGTGGAAGGCTTATAGCCATGTCTTTTTTTTTTTTTTTTTTTTTTTTTTTTTAATGTGCATTAGAAAAAAAGAGCAGATTTAAACTAGATTGGGCTGGGAATGAGGAATGATCACCTAAAGAAACTATGGAAATGGAAGTGGTTGTGTAAGTTAGAGGAAAATACTGCAAATGTAATGGAAATCTGGGAAATGGTAGAATGCATCAGGAAAAGGCTGGTTTGACTACCTGTCAGTCCTGTGCAGGGAAAGCATAGAAGAGCATTTTTTAAAGATGCTTTAATGCTGACAGGTGTTGAAACACCTGGGTCCCAGCAGTGAAAGAGGCAAACTGTGGCACGAGAACAGCACCTGCAATAAAGGACAGGGACAAATTCCAAGTGTAAAAGCCAAAACCACTCACTGGTTGGGGTCTGGCTGAAATATTTAACTCAAATTCCCACAGATAGATGTGTGTTTAGAGTTTGGAACAACGTGCAGAACTTTTACAGAGCCCTGGTACCGAATTTATGGTTCTCAGACTATAATTGTGCCACCAGTCCTTGCTATGACTGTATGGTAAAATAAAGGCCAAGCAGGGACAGCACAGGCTCCTAAATGAGTGTGTGGATTAAATTAATATTAATGACCATGAGTGAGCAATGTTTTGTCTACAAGAAGCAATGAATGTCAGATTTGTGCTGTGTGAACAGTGTGCATCACCCCAACAAAGTATAAATCTCTTTAAAATGGGCAGACCAGCAGAGAATTAGTAATGTTGGTGGGCTTTGGGTTCTTTTATTCAGCCTGTTGCAAGTGAAATGTATCTAACTGCAGGGATATTTTTAGTTAATTTTCTGTATAGAGCTAGTAAAAGGACCTGCTGATTATTTGTAATCAGGAAATTTAGTTACTCTACTAGATATAACATGATAAATGCATTTCAAGACCAACAAAAAAGAGTAGAGAAACCATTTTTGCCATTGTCTGCAACTAGATTGAATTTATTCTTTGAACAATGCAGATCTGAATCAGAATCAAATTACTTATCTCTGAAAAACGTGGCTTACTTTGTAAAATTTCCTGAAGACAGCTGTACTTTTGAAGCAATTTTCCTTCTTATTCTTCAGCTTCAAGTGTTTTTGCAGGCTGAGGAAGAATTGCATTTCAAAGCTCAAACAAGCTGGCAAAAAATGTGTTTCAGTGAAAGAAATAAGACTCCAAGTCACAGACCTCGGGCTGTGGCCATTTGCCTGCACACGAGTGGCAGCTCTTCCCTGTTCCATTGGCATTAAAATTCCAGAGGAACCCGAGGTAGAGGTGGGAGCATCATCCTGGAAATAAGAGGTGGAAAACAGTGTTTGTTCCACTCTCATTGCTCCCAGAAAGAAAAAGAACCTGTTCAAGCTGGATCACATTTCTCAGATTCATTACTTTTTTGTTGTTGTTTTTGTTTTAAGCATTTAAATCTCTCTACGGTTTCCATCTTTTCTAGAATTAAAAATTGAAAGAAATCCAGCAGGTCCCATTTTAATTATAACCCAACAATTTATTAATAGAACAGTAATGAAGTTTTTTGAAATTTGATTTCTTAATCAGGGACCATTGTTATTTTTGTGCCAGATTTGAGAGTTTAATTTTGGGTACTTCTTCCCAACCTCTGAAATTTTAATCAGAAGTTTCAAGTGTACATGTCAATGAGAAGTTAAAGGCCAAATTTAATAACATTTTCTACCTTGGGAAATTAAAAGAAGAACCTCACTCTGAAATCCATTATTAACAGTAGATCTTAATTAAACACAGTTATGGTTCTCAATATTTGACTGTGTGAAGAGATTGGTTTCAGTATTTTTCCCTTTTTTGGGATTCAACAAGTCCAGAATATTCAGTAGTTAGACTTTTAACTACGTGTAAATAAGTTGTTTACTGCAGTGTATTTGTAATTTTTAATTAGAGCAGTGTTGTTTTCTGGTTTCATGGCTTATCATGGCAATATATTTTTATTACCTACTGTGCTCTTGGATTTTAAATTATTTATGTAAACATATTGTTTCAGTGTTTATTCTCAGTAAGCAATATGAGTCAATGCTTCAGAAATATCTTCACAAGAAAAGTTTATTACAGCTCTAAAGCGTATCTAATTCATTAAGTAGAATTAAAATGCAGCATTTGAAGCTGGAGAACTTAGAACCCAAACTGCACCGAGTTTCATGGGAGCAGGAAAGGCTGCAGAGATATCTGAAGCTCTGTGTGTAAATAAGGTATATATCTGTAATATATAATAATGTAAATAAGGTATATATCTGTAATATATAATAATGTAAATAAGGTGTATATTTGCAATATATAATAATGTAAATAAGATATATATTTGTCTATAATATTTCCATCAAGCTGCCCCACAGAGTACAGGTGGCTCCTGCAAGCACAGGGACGCTGTCTCCAAGCCCTGCTAATCTGGAAACAGGAGCAAAGCCATTTATTATTGTCAGCATTTCCAAATAACTGCTACTGGTCTGTGTGGAAGGGGACAGACTCTGTTTCTCTTGATATAAATTGCATTTTTCTGTGCTGCAGACGAAGTGTTAATGAGCATCAGAGCAGGGGGAGGAGGAGGAGGCTGAACCCAGCTGAATTAGAAGTGATTGTGTTTGTTTGCTGCCCTGGAGGAGGTTGCAGTGAGTCTCTTCTGCCAGGTCTCCAGTGAAAGGATGAGAGGAAATGTCCTTCAGCTCCCCAGGGGAGGTTCAGATTAGACACTGGGAAAAAAATTCTCTGCCAGATGTGTGAAGTATGAGAATAATTTGCTCAGGGAGGTGGTGGAGACAGATCTGGAAGTGTCAAGAAGTGTCTGGATGTGGCACTTGGAGATGTAGTTTAGGAGTTGAGTCTTGGCTGATCTTGAAGATCTCTTGCAGCCTTGATGGTTCTGTGCATGATTCATCTTTTCACCAAGAACTGGATGATGGATTAGGAATGTCTTTGGGAACAGGAATTTTTGATGCTGGGACATGTTTTGCTTTAGATCAGATCATTCTGGCTTTGGGGTTGGTGCTCTGGAGTTGGTGGAAATCAGTGGAAATGTTCCAACTTCTAATTGAAGGCAGCCATGATCT